GTGGGCAACTCTGGCCCTCAGGATCCACTTCCCTTCAGAGATTACCTCCAACCTTGATCAAACTCACATGCATGTAACTTTTTTGTAACCCTTGATTAGACTGTTCAGGTGTTCAAGCTAAACTCTGCAGGAAAGAGGATCCTGAATGCCATAACTGCCCACCCCTGGTCTAAGGTCAATGAATCACCAAAGAGTGGATACATGCGCTGCAAAAATCCTTCCTCTGTTGTTGTGCTCTCTTTGAAAACTGGGAGCTCTGAATCATGGCTTACTCTTCTAATATAGTTTGTGTGTCTTATGGGATGTTTATCACTTGTTGATATGTATGGTCACCCAGCAGGAAGTGTCCTTACTACTCTAAAACATGCTTTCCTACTTGTGAGGCAAGCAAGGAGGCGTCGGGACACCCTGTAATGCTGAAGTGCAATAAATATGTAAGATCTTGACCGAGCTCCCCATGCAGACCTGCTTATTCTGGCCCCATGCCCCGATCCCACTGTTTTCCCTCTCCGCTGGTCATCTCTACTGAAACATGCAGAGCAGGCAGATCAAAGCCGCTTCTCCTGGAGGCCTGAAGATGCAGATAGATCAAGTTTGCTCTCGCGAAAAGCAAACCCTTTCAACTGCTCCAGTGGCATTATGATCTTTGTAACTGGATGATCAAAGTAGCAAACCTTTTCAGGATGTTGTTTCCAGCGGGAGCTCAGCTTTACGTCTGATTCCTCACGCGTCACTGGTGTGCGGCGCTCAGTCGCTCTATCACCACGGTGTGTATTTTTAGAAGGAATGTTAGTTTGGGAACATTCTGTTGGCATAGGCGTTTATCCATCTGCACGATGGTCCAGTGCCCACCCTCTCATTTTTCCTCTCTTTGATTCACCATGTCCCACTCTAATGTGCACCAGCTGTGAAACCTGTGCTTGTTTTGCACTTGAAATGAACAGCGATCTTATGTTCCTACCTGGAGATTTCTATCTACTCAGGGGTTTGCGTTCTGTGTGCCTGGGCTGGAGAAATGGCACCTTGTGTAATTGAGATTTCCTTTCTAAGAAAACACACACATGGCTTTACACATCATGTAGCACTCTGTTGTTTGGGGAATCTGTCAGTCAAAGCACCAAAGTGTATGTTATTAGTGTAAATCAAGGCTTTTATTTCGCTGAAAGAAAACCTTGACCTCCTGGGTTCGAGCAATTCTTTTTTTGAAGACTATATTTTAGTTGTAAATTCTGATGAATGTTAAAAATGACATCCAGGGGTTTTTGGTTTTTAAATTTGGTGTTTTCCCGGTCTTGCGACCAAAGATAGCCTACGATAGTTTTCTGACAGTGTCAGAAATTCAGCATGATCAACACACAGTGTGTTTGCTGCAACGACCTGCGTCTACTCAGCAGTCAATGAAATTGCAACATGAAATTACATATTGATCCACGCGACAAGCGACGCTAAAATTTCAATGCCATGGAGGCAAAAAAAAGTAGAAGGTATACTGGTATGTGGGATATCCATAAAGAACAAATTCTTGTTGAGTTGTGGCAGCAGAGGGCATGTTTGTACGTTGTGTCCTCTAGCTGCTATCATGACTGCACCAAAAAGGACATAGCATGGAAGGAGATAGCGGAGGAACTGCAGCTGCCAAGCTCCCCGTGCAAAACTGGCTTCCCAAGTTGTTCTCTTTTCCCGAGCCATGAGCGGGTCCATATTGCCCTCTTCCGCCGGCGCCTCTTCTTTGTTTCAGCGCACATGAAAAGCACAACTGCCAAAGCGCGATCCATCTTGATGTACCTGTATTTGTTTACCACTAGCGCATGCTGATGACGTTGCGCTAATATGTGTCGCAGCCATCGCAGCCTACGGTTCGATAGGCGTCATCATCGTACAGTCTACATGCTTTGAATATACCCAAGTTTAAATGATCCATGTCGCACAGTGTAATAAAATAATGATCTTATAGGATTGCTAAAATCGTGCAGTGTATCCCGGGCTTAAGTCGAAGATGAATATAAAAGTTTAATTAAATAAAGGTCAGCCACATGTGAGACAGCTGTATACAACACAAAAAATACCAGACAAATCAAGAGTGAGACAGAGCAACATGGCTGCGTTTCAGTTCACTTTTAGACACGCACTCGCAAACTTCCCTAAGCACTTACCCTCGGGGGAATCCCCACTGCCATTTTGAAGTGCGTTCCACTTCGTCAAGTGGACGAGGGAAGTTTACATGGACATACATTTGACCCCTCGATTTTGACCGAGGGAGCGAGTCTGCTTCATATGCACACTTCAGGCCACTCTGTAGACCACAGTACAACACAACTATGACGTCATCGCAGATCGTGTTTAATTTATCCCCACCCCAAACAACTCTATAATATATAAATACTTTTTTTTACATTTATAACAGTCCAAACATATTTATATACATATAGAATGCTGCACCAAACAAATTCGTAAGGGGAAACATGTAAACAATAAACCAACTCTATAGCGGATTCCAAGTGATCAAGGACTTAGGACGTTCCAATTCAGCCCATTCCAAGGTTTCCGCCAGTTGTGGGCACTCATGCAACGTAATCAATGATGTACATCCGAGTAAATGAGACTGAGGGAAGTTAGCGAGTGAAGGGCATAAAAAAGAGAGCTGGAAGGCAGCCCCTAAATACAAGGCAAATGAGGGAACTAATGAATAACCCCTGTGATGATTAAATTAATTTCCATGACAACTAAAGAGTGGCAGGAAAACTGAACAAAGGAAAACAGGAAACTAGAGAAAACAAACTAAAGGCCCTATTTTAACGATCTGAGCACATGGTCTAAAGCGCTCGGCGCAGGTGCACTCAGGGCGTGTCCAAATCCACTTTTGCTAGTTTAACGATGGGAAAATGGTCGGCGCGCCCGGGCGTATGGTCTAAACGGGTTGTTCCTGTTCTCTTAATGAGTAATGGGTGTTTTTTGGGTGTAACGTGCAATAAACCAATCAGAGTCTCATCTCCCATCCCCTTTAAAAGCCAGTTGCGCACGCGCCATGGCAGGTTTGCTATTTACATGGCGGAATGTAATTTTTCATTTTTAAAAATGTTTGTGTGCTGCTGCGCATCCCTGTGTAGGTAATAAGCAAAGTGTATGTGCGTTGTGCACCCGCCTATAGGCGCATATTACTAACGCGCTCTTTAAATGACAAAGAAAAAATATTGTGCCAGACTTTAGACCAGGTTTCAGTTGTTTTTCCTTGTTTAACTGAAGAAAGTTCTGGCACATCCAACTGTTAATTTCATCAATGCATTGACAGCGGGAGTCAGTGCGGCTGTAGTCACTTGGCGATAAGGCTAGGTAAATCTGGGTATCATCAGCATAGCTGTGATACTAGACCAGCACGCCCATGGGCGTACAAATGGGCGCAAATGCATTTGCTATTTAAACAACGCGGTGCAGGACAGGAAAATGAGAACTGAGTCGGGCTGAAACTAGCAAAAACACTTCCGCCGCGCCTTGCGCTGCATTGCGCCAGGTGTATGATAGAGCCCTAAAAGTCCATTATGATGAAACTAAAAGAACATAATTGTAACAGTCTGTCGGTGGGTTTTGCAAATATTTAACCAATGAAAATTATTTAAAAGAGCTTGTGATTAAACCTAACTCAAGATTAAATGTTGTGCCACACACATTTTGTCTCTGCTTGTTTAAAATGCAAGGGTAAATAAAGAACTGGATTTTTGAATAGTACAGCATTTTCACTATATATGAACACTTTATATAGGCTATAAAGGCTAAGTTACAGTATGTATTTGAGAAGCAGAGACGAGTGTCTTACTCTAGTATTTGTTGTGGAGTCTTAGCAAGTACTAGTCTTAAATAGGCTGTGTGTAGCACTTGTCAGAAAAGACTGAGCACCTACATAGCTCCAACTTTATACTTTGCAAGTTGATGAAAATGCCGTTTGATGCACTTTCTAAATGCATGAATGCATTTACAATGCCGAAAGGGCGCTTTGTAAATTGGCACCACATTACTATGTAGTAAGAGTCAAAAGTAGCCTACCACTTAAATTGGTACCAAGTCAACACAAAAATATTATAAATGATATAATGATACCAGTCTTTCTGCACTACTGTTCAAATTGGTACATGTATAGGCTACTGTTTGACAAACAGAAAATTGGCATCATATCATTATTAACAAGTATTACTGTTTATTAGCTAAAAACTAAAATATTGACTCAGGGTCAACACTAGAGATGCATTAAGGCCTGGTCGGGCCAGTAGATCAAATATGTACTTTCCCTGCCAAAACATTCATTACCAACATTTTAAATACTAGAGAAATTTCACAATTCTCAATTACAATGTACAATCACAGCAAAAATTAATGCTAGCCTAAATAAAATAAAGTTCAAACATTAAAAACAAGTAAACAGTCAATGATAATATAAGAACAAATAAACAAATTACAAGCAATAGCACAAATAATACAATAGAACAAAGACACAAGTTAAATAAACAGTACTTTACAGTGCTTGTGAAAACTTCTCGGGTTACTGCCCTGTGAATACATAAAATCATTGACAGGCATAAAGCACCTATGTCCTCAGATGGGCTAAACAAACAATCTCACATTTTTGTTTTATACACAGACAGGGCTATCATTTAAACGGCTGTTATATTTCAGGACACTTAATTCAGTTATATGTCTCAGATAATAAGAATATTTTCTTTGAAACTGGTTACAGTACATTTAATGGAGACATGGATCATTCGTTAAGAAGCCACTTAATTGTAACAGGCTCATATGGAACACAACTGCAGCTGTGTTTGAGATAGATATGTATGACACCAGAGCCATACTGTGATTTGAGTATAATGAGAGAGTTACTGCAGGGACGCCAATTCAATGACTGTTTCCCCTGGAGCCACACACACACACACACACACACACACACACACGCACGCACACACACGCACGCACGCACGCACACACACACACACGCACACGCACACACACACACGGAGACTCAGTCCCACACTGCAGGCTTACACATAGCAGCGGCTTTGATGAGGCTCCAAGCGCACACAAAGCACACCAATAAGCGCACACTACCCCAGGTCACATTTGCATATGGGCATTGTCTGTGGAATACAAAGCAAATTGTTATTCTCAAAATTTGTGCTTATTTTCCTTGTTTCATCACAGTCTCTGACACACTTGCGATCATTAAAATGTATGCAAGTCCTACAGTATAATTTTAGTGCATGTTTCCAAATTCACTTCTCCATTTCATCCATCTATCTCTGTCTGCCAGTCCATCTGTCCAGCCATCTATTTGTTTATCCATCTGTCAATCATACATATCTATGCCATATTATACATCATCTAGCCAATCATACATATATTCATCCCTCCATCTGTGCATCCATCATTACAGTAAGTGCCAATAAACTAAATAAACCAATTAAAACACTACTACAGCAAATTACAAATTCCCTAACTATTTTAAAACAGTCAAGTGATGTTAAACTTCTGTGATTAGAGCAGAGGTTTTCAAACTGGGGCCCAGGGTCCTGCAAGGGAGAGTCCAAGAAAAAAATGTCCTGAGAAAACTGTGTAAAAAAATAAAAAATAAATAATAATAATAAGCAAAAAAAATAAAAAAAATAAAAATTGATTAAATAGATAAAATGTAATAAAATAAAATGTTGATTAAAATAATACACATAACAGGACAGTAGTATAGCGAGTAGAAGGAAATGTAATAACATAACAGAAATATCCTTCAAATATTAACACATTCTTATCATAATTTTTTCAGTATAAATCTGTTCTTTATACATGAAAATGTATAGCTGGCAGCTGCCTTTTAAATTTTAGGATGGGATCCCTCACATGAGGATGATCAATCATATTTGCGGGTCTGTGGCATCCAAAAGATTGAAAACCCCTGGATTAGACAACAAAACCTTTTGTATTTACACAGGCCTTCTGCTTTGCCCTTTTGTATGAGCTTAAATTATACAACATAGGGACCCTCAGCCCTAAAAAACAGATCCAGTTTGAGCTGGCCGGGAACGAAATGAATCAAAGGCTAACTACAGCTCAGGAAAACTCACTTAAAACATCAATGAATTACAGTGAATTATATCAATAAAAACATCTCTGAAGATTTTCTTCTCTTGCAACATTTTGCCTGAAGATGAAAAGGGAGCCATATTTTTTTTTTCCTCCACAGGAATCACTCAACTTAAAAAAAACATTGCACACCTCTATCAAAGCACCAGGGGGCCTTTCCACTGCACAATCATTGATATGCAGAAAGTGTGTACGTGTTTGAGTGGGAATGAAAGAACAGAAACATCAATTAGAAGTGCCTTTGAACAGTGCGCAGTAGAGACAAAAAAAATGTATTTCCTTTAAATGTTATGCATGCACTCTGGGTCTCCTTCAAAGAACCGAACAATGTGCTGCGCTAAATATGTGCACGTACAACATATTCATTTGTCTTTTTGTGCGAGAGAACTGCAAAGAATGAAAGACAATGGCAGTGTTTATGCTACTACCAGCATATATCTTAATGAAGGCAACCCTATAATGCATTGTGACAAATTCAGTGAAAAAAGTGCCCAAGATGGCAGAGAAACTGAGAGAAATTATAGCTAAAAAATGTAAAGTAGGTCTAGTTTACCCAATATTTATGTGTGCTGTGCATTTTATGCTTCTTAGAGTATTGCACTGTTAGCATAGCAACATGCTAACAGCAAAGTGAGTCTACTGTGCACTTAGCTTGATTATCCAATCCCAGCTCACTGGAAAAATGTGCCTGTGGTGACATTTCTACAAACTGATATTACATTGCTTATGGCACGTTTCACAATAATTTCTAAGTGAAATGTCCAGTGAGTGGCGTTAGAGACGCATTCAGTTTTATCTGAAACAGATGACTGTGAATCTGGCAATGTTTTATTATGTTGGCTGTTGTACGCATCACAGCAGTTTGGAAATTAAAAGTATGGTGGTGTTAAAAGGTTAACACTCTATTGCTTTTGAAAACAATGTACTATCGACACTTAAAACCTACTCTAAACCTCACTAGCTGCATTTTTATGGACCCTAATAATCCATTTGTAATCGGACTAGTAGCCCAGTCCGAATAAAAACAATCACATGTAACCACGTCAATTGGAATGAATTGGCCAAATCCAGTCGAAATTTCATTAGATTGTAAGGGGTGGTTTAAATCTTTTCTAATCTGTTGAAGAGGACATGTAAACACTTGATCAGACTGAAAACCAAAAATGGAGAGTTACGTGCATGTGCAATGACGTAGAAATGATGCATGACACAAGAAACAAACTCTTGTTGTTGAATTATAAGTATCATAAATGACTGTCGTGTCATTCTAAAATTTTCCAGTCATCGTCTGTGAAATGGGGCAGGACAAATGTTGTCCCACTAGTCCTTGCTTTGGACTCTTATCCACAGATGCCTTGATTTGGAATCAATAAATATGAATTATGCTGTTTAAAACAAAGAAAAGGAGCAGGAGGATGGCTAATATGCTTGTCTTGAAACAGCAGGAAACTGTATATTTGTGCAGTGTGCACGTCAAAAGATCAAATCCGATTGGAAGCTTGTAACATATAAACACGCACATCAACATGATCACTTTATTTAGCGTTCATGTAAACACTATGTTTGGATTCATCAGTCAGGATGATTCCATCGAATGATTGCCACTAGTCTTCATTTCAGCTGGAAACTGCAGTGATTATATGAATAGGTATGTTTTTATAGTTTCATAGAGACGTGTTTTTCCAGTGGCCTATGTTGTGATTATCAACTCTCACTGACCCTCAGTACCACTCACTCTCCTTCTCTCTCCCTCGGCCCTCTTATCTTTATACGCTACTCTTGAGGCATGGCGTTTGTCATATATGAAACTGCTGAGATGTCAATATATAAATTCACTTCAATTTACAGTCAGAGACAGAAGAGAAGAGAAAGAGGCAGAACGGAACAGAAGGGAAAACGAGAACAGAGAACAGAAAGAAAAAAAGAGAGAAAGGTTAAGCAATGAAAGGGTATTAATAAAATACATAATTATGACCTCTAAATTGAACTATGCTATTATAAATACCCTTTTTCATCATATGTCACTTTCTAAACCACAGAGACTAGCCACTTGTGAATGAATGGAAGAGATTGCAACACACAGAACACAATGACTGTATGATAGGATGTCTCGCATTCGTTAAATAAGTAGTTTCAGTTAAAGAAACATATTTCATGCAGTTATGTTAACGCAAAATGTTTCAGGCACTATTGCATTACCATAAACTCTCTTCTTATGGCCAATTTTCACATCAATAACTGGTAGAGCAACAGTTTGAAGAGAATCTTTCACACATTTGTCAACATGCTAGCTAGTAACCTGAATATTAACACATTTAACTCTACTTGCTATGCAAGAGCTGAACACTTGCAAGCAGTTGGGCAAGCATTTGAGACTGTTTGTGGACTTGCACAGAATGCTTCTGGACTAAAATGCATATGTGCATTAGCTGAACAAACCTTATAAAACATTTTTTAGCTAAAGCAATATTTGTGTCAGATTTTATAGGTGATTTGACTATGCTTCTAAAATACAGGCTTGGCAAATACTTTTGCAGATTATGCTGACAAGAGCTATAACTGAATTCTCTCTGTGAAGCGCTATATACATATAACAAATTATTTCTTTTGAATACAAACAAATGATTTGAACCTCTGCTGTAATTGTTCTCTCTAAACTACAAACATACATACACACAATGGCATACCGTGAATCTTAACCACTCTTTATTTTACCTTGAGTCTTTTAAAGCTTTTTTTTTACATTTTTCTGGATTTATATAACTCAAAATGTTTAAATCTACAAACTTTACAGTTGTCAATCAATGTGCAAATTGTTTTCTGATGACTGTGCATGAAAATCTGCATTTAACTGTCAAGCGCTTACACTATTTGCTCCCATGCTTCAAGCTTCACAAGCTTGATTTCTGCACACTGTCAGCAATTCAGAATGCAATGGGCACTACTGCATTCGCATAAACTGTCTTCTGTGGTAAATTTTCATGTAAATGAATTTGTTCCCTTGTTTTAGGTAAATTGTGGCCATGTTTAAAATAAAACATGGGGAAAATCTGCATACCATATGCAGGGCTTTGTAAGATCTCACAACTGCAACTTTATTTGTCATAACTGTGACTTCGTATTTCACAATTGTGACTTTATATATCACAATGTGACTTTGTATCTTACAATTGATACTTTGTTTATTGTAATTCTGACTTTTTTTTTAAATCTCAGAATTACCTTGCTTTTGTACTCAGAAATGGATTTTCTGTGATTGTGATCCTATACATTAGATACATTATTTAAAATGTTTCTGCAAATGGATACATGGGCGCATATACGGGTGGTGCACTCTGTACAACATGTGCAATTATATATAAATCTGTGCAACTGTATGGCTCTTTTCAGACCACATATATATAGCATATAACAAGGACAATGGAAAACCTATAGAACCAGAGCTGTGCGATCATTAGTCAAACATACACATTCACACAAATGCAGAGTGTGTTTCTAGTTGGGTTGGATCCAAAAGGTGAAACAATGCAGCAGTGACACACAAAAGAGCTCTGACAGAATGAGGTTAGTGAACTGAATCAATGAAACATAGTAAAGCATTATGACACAACAGCAGGTGCTCAGAAAACTGTTTCCTGAACTGGGATGGAACCGTAGGGATGCAGGGAGATGATGTTTCCCAAACGGCAGTGCAACTGGGATTCAGTGGGCAGGGGCGTCATGCACTTATTATTTTTGAGGGGATACGAGTGTAAAGGAGGGGAGGGGATGGGGGGTGCTCATGTGACACACATCAGCCACGAATGCGGCTGGCTTATTGGTTTTATTTTATTTTTTATTCGAAATACTTCCAAATGTGTGAACTATATCATGAAATATCTTGATTCTCAGGTAAATGCATTTTTGCACCTTAATAGATCATGTTAGTTGATCTATAATGGGCGTTGGACTAGCCTAATGTTAGTGTAATCTATTAACTACGCATAAAACCCGTCTTTTTTCTTAAGTACCAGACATGGGTGTCATACCACAACATATTTTTAATACTACTGACTTTGTATTTAACGTGAATTTAATAAAAACATTGTAAGTTACTAATTATAACACTTTTATTGTACATAAAAAGAGCAAAGAACATTTACATTATTAAAGAACATTATCATTGACTTTACTCTAGCCAGAGTTCAAGCACTCTCATAACTCCCATTACAATATTTGAAGTTGTTTACACTGTGAAACAGGCACATGCAGAGGGGGGTGCGGTGGGCGCTTGAGCACCTGCCCTTTTTCCCCTTGATGCCCAAAATGCCTTTTGTCAAGGCAATTATTTTTTATTAAACGCCCTTTTGTGAATGCCTGCTCAATCTAACTATTAGTAAAATTAATGAATAATTTAGCAGTAAATAATATGATCCACATGACCTTTTAACTGATGATCTCATCCGGGACGATCTTTCATGTTCAGAAACCTTTAATAATTTTATAAGAGGCAATATATGTTAAAGACAGCATGTTTCTAGAAAGCATTGATATTCTTAAAGTTGTACTAATAAATATATTAGGAATATTATAACAGGTGATACAGCTACTTATAAAAAGCTTATTGTGGACCAATGTATTTAGAAATATAAATTGGAATAAAGTTTGGCATATTTGTGAAATATACTGTTTAAATAAAAAAAGTGAAAGAGGTTACATTTAAATTTTTATATGGTATATATACAGCTAAAAGTATGTTAGAGAAATTTTATTTGGATATTGATTATTCCTGTGATTTTTGTTCAATGGAAAATAATTCTATTGTCCATCTGTTTTGTAATTGTGTTTACACAATGATTTTCCGGGTGGATATGGAAAATTTCATTAGAAGGATCATAAATATTATTTTCAAGTTAAATAATTTTGATATACGTAATATTCCAGTGAAAGTAATAATAATAATTTTACTTTACTTGTACAGTTTTTTAATATTTTGGCAAAATTTCACATACATAAGAAATGGTCAGGATCCAAGCCAAATTTTCTTCAGGAGACTAAGGACTACTGCACCAGTTTGGAGAACACTGATAATAAAAAGCAAAGGCGACTTATAATTGTCACAGGTACGGTGCTCTAAGGAGACAAGCGCACGACGCAGGAGTAATCCAGCACACAATCTTTAATTCCAATTTTCACGCAAGAGAATAACCA